CAGTCTGCAAAAAACTGAACACCTAGATCCATTCGTATAATCACCCTATACCAATAATTAACTCAAGAATGGATCAACGGATCTTAAATATCAGACCCCACAACTCTAAAGTTGATACAGGAAAGAGCTCGGAAATACTCTGGAGTTTAGTAGGCTATAGATAAGCACTTTCTCAATGGAACCCCAGCAGCACAAGCAACTAGCGACAGGATTAAGTAAACTGGGACCTCCATAAAAGGGCTAAAAGCTTCTGTCATCAAAAGAATGGTGTCAAACTGAAGAGAACACCCCAGGTGGGCGAAAATATTTGCAGCTATACATCAAAGGACTGATAACCAGAATATATAGGGAACTATAAAAAAACCACTAAATTCTCCCAAACTTAAATGAACCAATAAGAAATGGGCAAGTGAACTAAACAACTTTCTCAAAAGAAGAAATTCAAATGGCCACAAAAACACATGAAGAAAATGCTCACCAATCTTCTAGCAATAAAGGAAATGCAAATGAAAACCACGCTAAATTCCACCTCACCCCTGTTAGAATAGCCCATGCATCAGCAACACCTACCAACACAGGTGTTGGGAGGATGTGGGGGAAAAAAAGGAACCCTCTTACACTGTTGGTGGGAAATGTAAACTAAGTTACAACACTCTGGAAAAAAAATTTGGAGGCTACTTAAAAAGCTAAACATTGATCTACCATTTGATCCAGCAATACCACTCTTGGGGATAACCCAAAAGAATGTGCAGGTTACTCCAGAGGCACCTGCACACCCATGTTTATTGCGGCACTATTCACAATAGCCAAGTTATGGAAAGCAGCCAAGATGCCCACTCACTGATCAATGGATTAAGAAAATGGCGTATTCTATACTACAATGGAATTTATGCAGCCATGAAGAAGAACGAAATTTATTATTCGCTGGTAAATGTGGATGGAATTGGAGAACATCATTCTGAGTGAGGTAGCCTGGCCCAAAAGACCAAAAATCGTATGTTCTCCTCATATGTGGACATTAGATCAAGGCAAACACAACAAGGGATTGGACTTTGAGCACATGATAAAAGCGAGAGCACACAAGGGAGGGGTGAGGATAGGTAAGCACCTAAAAAAATTAGCTAGCATTTGTTGCCCTTACGCAGAGAAACTAAAGCAGATACCTTAAAAGCATGAGGAATAGGGAAAGGAACTAGAGAAAAGGTTAGATCAAAAAGAATTAACCTAGAAGGTAACACCACGCACAGGAAATCAATGTGAGTCAACTCCCTGTATAGCTCCTTTTTCTCAACAGCAAAAACCCTTGTTCCTTCCTATTATGCTTATACTCTCTCTACAACAAAATTAGAGATAAGGGCAAAATAGTTTCTGCTGGTATTGAGGGGGTGGGGGAGGGGGTGGAGTGGGTGGTAAGGGAGGGGGTGGGGGCAGGGGGGAGAAATGACCCAAGCCTTGTATGCACATGTGAATAATAAAAGGGAAAAAAAAAAAAAAAAAAAAGAACGTACCTGTGCACATAGCCCATGTGGTGGATGTAGTCCAAGGCCTTTAGCGCCCCCTGCAGGATGTAAGCAATCGCCAGCTCATTCATGCCGTCCACGAAGTGTGTACCAATGAGATCCTTTGCAGAACCTGAAGGAAGGGAGCAAAGGTACAAAGGAAGAAAATGGCACATAAACAATCTGCCAACAGAGTTCTTAGGACCCTCTCTACCAGGAATCTCGTCCCACTCACCATATGCCATGAATGATGTGACAACCCACAGCTCATTGTCTGCAATAAAGGTGGCTCGATATGGCACAATATTGGGATGGTTGAAGAGTTTAGAGACATGAAGCTCCCCCTGAAACAGGTAAAAGCTGAAATCAGAATCAAGTGGTACTGAAGAATGACACCATCATGAAGGCAGCAGTGTGGCTAAGATGGAGACCTAGTTATTTCTGGGTACTCGCCTCAGAGTGCTAGGAGCAGCCTACATGGGTGCTTCCAATAGAAGAGAAACTAGGCCTGCTGTCCCTGCAAGGAAGCCAGCTTGCTTTGCCCACTTAGGCCTCACAGTAGCCCCACCAGTCAACCCTCTGGAGCCTCAAGGAACAATCCTTCACAGAGAAACTGCTGCAACTCAGGGGTGGCCACCTCAAAGATGATGAAAATAAAGTGCTCACTGAAGACTTAGGACGCTATAAGCTTAACTCAACTTCAAAGGTCAAGGTGCAGAATTTTTTGTTTTTTTTGTTTTTTGTTTTTTTTTTTGGCAGTACTAGGATTTGAACCAAAACCCCAGGAAATAGTTCACCAGAACCTATCTCAAAAAACCCATCACAAAAAAAAGGGCTGGTGGAGTGACTCAAGGTGTATGCCCTGAGTTCAAACCCCAGTACTGCAACAAAAAAAAAAAAAATAGAAAACCCCAAATCCTCAAAAAGCTCGAGGCCAGTCTTATGGGTTACATGGTGACACACTGTCTCAAAAAATAAACAAAAGATTTTAAAACAAAAATTTCCTATTGGGCTGGGATGTGTAGCTCGGTGGTACAGCGCTTGCCTAGCATGCGTGAGGCCCTGGGTTCGATCCCAGCACCAAAAAAGAAAAGACAAAAAAAAAAAAAAATTTCCTATTATAGGCTGGTGGAGTGGCTCCAGTGATAAGACTGCCTATCTAGCAAGCCTGGCAAGCGTGAGGCCCTGGGTTCAAGCCCCAGAACTGCCAAAAATAAAAAAATTCCTATTATAAATGAAAGTGTAAGAGTTGATATAATCAAATAAAATACTGAAGAACAAATGACAATTACTAAATATTAGAAGATATTTTCCCAACAACCTCAGATTGAGTAATCCTTTCTTTAGAAACAGCTATAGGAAGTGTACAAAATGTACACTACAGAACCCAGGGTCCTTTGGGACATGAGCTAAGGACCTTCTGCCTTTCCACTGCTTCAGAGAATAAAATCCACAAAAATCATAAATAGTTCAATTATGCTCTAGAACAAGCTCAGATGCTTTTTTTTCTCAAATAACTAAGCTGGGATGGGTTTTTGCTCCATTCTCAGCCCCAGGAAACACTCTGAGCAGGTGAACTAGGACTACACCACCCTCAGGTGGGCATCAGTGTCAGGAGCTACAAACAACTGTTCTCAATACACACCAAACTGGGCCCCAAATCAAGAGGCGCCAGGCAAGAGAATCCAGCCTCCAGTCAGTCCCCAGCCATGCTTTAGTTTAACAAAACCTGAATAGAAGACAACTCAGGCAAACAGGATATTACAAGCCAAAAATGGTTACTGGTGGCTGGATAGGTGGCCCTGTATCTGCAATAAGACTGCCTGGGTCCAAATCCTGTCTCTGCCACTTAACTACTGCATGTGACCAGGGACAAGTTACTTAGCCTCTCTGAATAATAAATGAATAAATGAGCCAGAGAGGAATATCTGAAGGAGAGGGCAATATAAGCTTGCTAAGCCACACCTGCAGCTAAATCCTCAGTGTCAAATGCCTGGGGTCCTCCACTGAAAGCTGCCATGATATCTGAATGGCCAGAGGACTGAGATGAGTGGTGCCTCACAATTACTGTGGAACCAAGAGCCCACCCTCCAAGTGTCACATCCATGTTTTATTACCTGTAAGAACGTCACCATCTCATTGGAACAAGCTTCTAGGTTAATCCTTCGGACTGTTACATACTCTCCCGTTGGTTTGTACCTTGCTAGATTCACTATCATCAGGTCCTCAAATCCTTTGCCTAAAAGAAAAGAGGAATGCCATAAACAAGAGTAATAGTCACAAAGGTTCCTATCATCTTTAAACAAAAAGGGACTCAATTGCAACAGGAAATTTTAGTTAAAATTTTCACTACTGTTACGTCATGACTGACATATCTTAGTTTTTTTCCCTTCTTTGCCAACCATTTTAGCTGACTATGGTCCAAGACATCAGCCATGAAGGATTTCCCCCATTTCTGGCAAAAAAGCCTCTCTCCTGGAAACTTCATTTCTTCCCATAATTGGCAGAAAAAAAAGCAAAGAGAAGACCCAAAAAGCCAGTTTCCTCACCATGAATCCTACTAACTAGCTGAGAAACCTGTAGCAGTCCCTTAGCACAGGAATGCAGTGATGGTCCCTGGACAGTACCTATAATGGTGAGCAGCTCATAACACCCTCCCTCTGGCAGAAAGCTGCTCATGATTTCTTGTTTAGAGAAGGATGCTATCGACTCTGAGCTCGCCTCATTGGTCTAAAGAAAAAGAAAAGTAGATTAGCCGGGAAAACTGGGTGGGACGGGAGTGGGGCAGAGGTGATTATCTCGGACCCATGAGGAGACTGGTATCTAAACACACACCCTGACTCTGAAGAAAGTCGTCAGATGTCCAGTGTGGGAATCTGCACCGTGTCAGAGCACTCGTGTCAATCAGCTCTCGTGTTGGACACATCTGCGAACTGGGGAGATGACAAGTACCTGTTCTACTTAACTAAGCTGCTTTCCTTTCTAACAACTGACTCACTTGCTAAAATCTATAGAATTCTTTCTTGGGGAAAGGATGGCTGGACAAAGGTACATTTAGAAAAGGGAGATAGAAAGGTGGAGGGTTCTCCTGAATTTCCTGCTTCATTGGATCCTATTTTTAAGGTCCTGACTGCAAGCTCGCAAAAGGTCAAACACTAAGTCTTGCTCTAGGGAAAATGTGGCCAGAAGCCCCCTGTCTTTTTAGTAAACCATCCCTGATGTTTTTGTTTGTTTGTTTTGGTGGGGCTGGGATTTGAACTAAGGGCTTCACAGTTCTAAAGCAGGTGCTCTACCACTTGAGTGACACCTCCAGTCCATTTTGCTCTGGTTATTTTGAAGATGGGGTTTCATGAACTGTTTTGCCTGAGCTGGCATGGAACTGCAATCATCCCAATCTCAGCCACTTGAGAAGCTAGGATTACAGGTGTGAACCACCAGCACCTGGCTTTCCTGATGTTTTCAAGTGAGTGAGAACAATGTAGGCCAGGAACAAAGCTGGCAGGTCTCTGCCATGTCCCAGGCAGCAGAGACCTGCTCATTCATTCCCATCCACTCATACTGGGAATAGAGCAGCTAACATGTGGGCATGACGCCTCTGATCTTTGAGGTCTTTTTTTTTTTTTTGAGGTCTTGAAGAAAGGTGGTCAGCAGCAATGTCTGAGCATTGAAAGCAAAAACACATGACAAACCAATAGCTCTTGTTTCAGCTGAATGGGATTGGTTTCCTTCTTCTAGACCTAAATTTATTTATATGCATGATTCAGTGACTATATTTCTCTCTCTTTCAGACACTCTTCTTCAGATGTGTGTCTAACCAAAATAGAGAAAACTAAGGATAGCTCATATGTCATATGCTGTGTTCATAAACTTGGCTTCTAGTCAGAAGAAATCTTTGTGAACACATGAAGGGCTCTTGGCTCAGCACTAGCCAGAAGGGTGCAAGTTGAGAATATTCTGACAAGATGGTACCCGAATAACTATTAGGGAAGTGGCAGAGGAGCTCTTAAAAATGTGGTGTTCCACATGTGTTATTTAAATATGGATGCTTTTCAGAGCACTTCCACACTGCATCTGATCTTCCCCATAATTCAGTGAAGTAGATGGGGCAGATATCCCCACCTTTCACTAATAAAAATGAGGGCCAAGGCAATTAAATGACTGGCCAAAAATCAGAATGTGGGTTTAGCCAGGTGCTGGTGGCTCATGCCTGTAATACCAGCTACTTGGGAGGCAGAGATCAAGAGTGAGGTTCAAAGCCAGCCCAGGCAAATAATTCATGAAGTCCTATCTCAGAAATACCCAACACAAAAAAGGGCTGGTGGAGTAGCTCAAGTTGTAGAGCACCTGCCTGGCAAGTGTGAGGCCCTGAGTTCAAAACCTAGTGCTGCAGGTCCACAGTATAGACCCAGTCCCACACAGGGAAGTTAGTATACCCTTTTGTCACTTGACATTTCAAAGGCATCTGATTTCAAAACAGCTGGCAATGCCTATGGGGAAAAAAGACAAGTGGGGCTCTGTCTTCTTCACCAATGTATAGTGACTCTAAGAGGAACCCAGTCAACAAAGTGAGCTCTGTTAGCAAGCTCCATTTCTAATATAATCCACTTTTTCTAAGATTCGGTCACATTACATTTAGCTATAGTTCACCCACTTTCACTGCTGTATAATATTCCTTTATACTTCAGAAACATACTTCAATTTATCCTTTCAACACTGATGGAATTTGTGAGTTGTTTTCCTGTTCTGCTGTGGTGAACTGTGATGCTATGACATGTTTGGAAATGTCTCCTGACTAAAGTGTGGCGTATAGGACTGGATAGGATTGCTAGGTAACAGAGTACATGAACAATTTTATGAGACAGTGGCATACTGTTCTCCAAAATGGTTACCCCAGTTTGCACTCCCACCAGCAATGCATGTGTGTTCTTTTCTCCAAGATCGGTATTTTTCAATTTTTTATTTTTGCTAATCTCATTATGGGCTAGGTTTACATTTTCCCGATTCCTAATGAAAGTGACCCTGTTTTCATATATTTAGTGGCCATGTGGGTTTCCTTCAAGGTGAAAAGGCTTCTTCCTTTTGTGTGCATGTGCGTGTACACACCTGTGGTAGTGGACATTGAACTCAGAGCCTGACGATTGCTAGGCTCTCTACTATGCCCCCAGACCTACATCAATCTTTTATGAGATCTTAGAAGCAAACTTTGGCTTACAACTTTTTTTTAATATTAGCCTTCTAGTCTAAAGTGGAACAAATATATTTTGATAGAAGCATTTTCTTGATTGGTTAAATTAGCACTACTTAAAATTTCTTTCTTCAGAAATAAATATGTGTATATCTAGGGGTTAAAAAAGTGATGCTGGGTGCCAGGGGTTTACAACTGCAATCCCAGCTACTTGGGAGGCTGAGATGGGGAGGACTGCAGTTCAAGGCCAGCCTGAGCAAATAGACCCTACCTCCAAAATAACCAGAGCAAAATGGACTAGAGGTGGGGCTCAATTGGTACAGCACCTGCTTTGCAAGAGTGAAGCCCTGAGTTCAAACCAGTCCCACTCCCCCAAAAAAAAGAAAGAAAAAGAAAAAGAAATGCTTCTTCCTGCCTTTGTTCCATTTTCTGCTGAGTTGTGGCTAGTATGGGACTTCCCCAAAGCAGGCCCCATGGAACACTGATTCTGGCAGCTGATGCACCACAAGTCCCTGCATCCAGTTAAGTTAGGATATGCAGATGCTCTGTGTCATGGCGAGTGACAAGGTATCTCCCGTATCAGAGGCATGGGGAAGTTCTCTAGTAAGGAAACTTGCTCAACTCTGTTTAACACAGCATTCCCAATGATACCTGCCTGGGAAACATTTGTGCCTATCATCTGTTAAATGTTGGAAAAGATAATTTTGGGAAAGCTATATTGTTTGCATGCATGCATGCCTGCGTGTTTTGTGGTACTGGAGTTTGGATTCAGGGCTTTTCCACTGCTAGGCAAGTGCTCTACAATTTGAGCCATACTTCCAGCCTGGATAGGCTGCTTTAAGTAAAACATATGGTGTAATGCATAGACTTATAGACACTTGCTCTGTGACCCTGGGCAAGTCACTCTAACCTCTTTGGGTCTCTTATCTGCAGTGGTATAATTCCCATCTTGCAGGTGTGGTGTGTGACTATAAGATGATCTAAATATGTAAAGAACTTAGATCCACCTGCTGTATAATAGGTATTCGACACATGTGAATTCTAATCTACTCTTCCTCCCTATACTGCTGTCTACTTTTTGGTGACTCCTGCTTAACAAGCAAAATGACACAGAGGGCCAAGTGTGGTGGTACACATCTGTAACCTCATTTACTCAAGAGGCTGAGGTCAAGGAAAGAGGATCAAAAGTTTGAGGCCAGCCTGGACAACTCAGCAAGACCTTGTCTAAACATAAAAGTAAAAAAGGACTGGGGCTGGAGTTCAGTGGTAGAGTGCTTTCCTAATACGTGAGACCATGGGTTCAATCCTAAACAGTATCAAAAAACAAAACAAAATAAACACACACACACACACACACACACACGTACACACACACACACACACACACACTTGCACACACACACACACACACACACAGAAAATGGAAGAAATGAAGAATCCCAAGTAGAACTTGATCAGTAGTTAGCTGATTTATTTTGGTTTTTATACTTATCTCTGAAAGCAAATTCTAGGATCACTTGATTGTCACAGTAGCTCCTTGAAAAATTATCTTGTCTTCAGAACATCTTAAGATGCTGGTTACTAGCTGTCAGGTACCTCACCGCAGGTAAGAGAGATATACAAGAAGGCACAGATGGAGGAGCAATTTGAATAAAAACAAAAAACAAAGAAGCAAAACCAAAAATCAAAGCTCTGGAGGGGCAACTCCCCATTCAATTAGAATTTATAATGGTACTTTATTTTTTATTTGTCTTTTTTTGAGACAGGGTCTCAATATGTAGCCCTAGCAATCCTACTGCCTACTACTCAGTTTCCTGAGTGCTGGGATTATAGAAGTGTGCCACCACATCCAGCCATGATGCTACTTCTGTCTTCTCGGTCTCTAACTCCTGCACATAGTCCTGCTGTCAATAAAATCAATGTTATCAACTACAGAAAGCTCAGTGGGCTGCTGTCAGATCCAAACTCCCTACTCTGGCCTGTGAACATCCACATGCCCTGGCCCTGCCCACTTCTCTGATCACATCGCCTTCACCACTCTCCTACTTGCTACTTTCCCTATACAAGCAAGCCCAATCTAACCTCAGGAAGGCTGCACTAATCCTTTTGTTTGGAACACTCCTGCCCCAGTCCCTCCTCTGTCCTCACCATTTCCTCATCTCTGTCTTCTCATTGTCATTGAGGTCTCAAATATCATCTCTTCAGAAAGAAGACTATCCAGCAAAGCAGAGTAGGCTTCAGTCACTTTGCTATGTCCTCTGGCTTTACTTTCTTTATAGCAGTCCTCACTATCATTTGGTTATCTACTTCCCTTCTCGTCTGCTAGAATGCAAGCTCCTGTCTTACTCACTGCTGCATTACCCAGTGCCTAGAACAATGTTGGTATATACTTAAAAAACAAAAAATCATGTAAGCAAAGTTTGAAGTGAGGTATTCTGGCCAGGACCTTGTCATTCCCACAGGCTAAAGAGGAGGAAAGAAGATGCCAGTTCCTTTGGAGGCAGGGCTCAATGCAATGGCCTACACGGAAAATGCCAGCACTCCT